ACAACAGATAACATGGTATTAATTTCAACGTTAGAAAGAGTCTTACAGACAGATGAATTTAGTCGATGACTATAGTGAGTATATAAGTTGCATTCTTTAAAGAATCAGCAAATCGTTGAACAAAGGGCAACTGTTCTTTGAGAGAAGAATCGCAGCTTCATCTTCAATGATAGAATAATATCTATTTTTATCTCCGTCGATATTACCTGATCAATACAAATGATGATTTTTTTGGCTTGTCTTGGCAATATTATTTTGTGCTTGCCACATTCGAACAAATGATTTTCCAAAGTTTGATCACCAGCTCTAACACTAAAATTTTAAGATTTAACAAAATTACCAACATTTTTTTTAACTGAATAGCAACCAACCTCTGAGTGAAATTGAATATCATCACGATGACGTCGTAATCCAATGGCAATTAAGAAACACCAAAGTAAAACCTTTGTCAACAAGACAAAGTCCATATTTAGTCGACATGGCATTCTGGAAACGATAGTATCCGATGATCAGCCTCATTACTCATCGGAAGAATGCAAACAGTTTGCGTTAGACTACCATTTCACACATAACACCATAAGTCGGAGTTATCTACACTCAGGTGGATTACGTGAGATAAACAGTTCAGACAGTCAAAAACATTCTCAAGAAAGGCAAAGCGAATAGACAAGACCAACAAGAATATCTCGCGCTGTTAGACTATCGTAACACCCCCATTGACAGTGTGAGCCCTGCGCAAGACGCTTTGATCAACCAGGTTTACACTGCTCGCCATGTTGGTAGAAAATCTCCTATAGGTAAAAGAATCTGTATTGATTTTATGTTGTGTTGAGCTTAGGCCCTTTGAAGTTGCCTATCAACATGGCCGCTTTGACGTCATCACACGAAAGAGCTTCATTCTCTTTTTTCATCGTTAGTAGATAAAAGTAATTTGCGTAATAATTTCTTAGGAATTCTATTCGAAAGAAGTATCCTTTTCAAGAAGTTATGATCACTTTCCTTGAACTCATCCGATGGCAATCTCTTCTTGCATTTTATCAAACACCTAACGAAAGTAACCTTTTTCCCATCGTGACTCTTTCTTTTCACGTGTTAAAGATACTTTGTGCCTTACCAAGCGTTACCAATTGAGTTTTACCTTTTAAGTATGAAACAATCTTCATAACATGTGGTGAAGAATTATTTTTGTAGTATGTTCTTTTTATTGTGTACAATTTTTTGAAGCCAAAAACACCTTGGTGTCCCTTAAAGATACACAAATAATGTTGAACACCATTCTTTTTTCTTGAGCCCTAGTCATTTTCAGACTCTAAGTCGACAATATCCAGTAGGAAGCCCACGTTATGAGAAACAATTTGGTATGATCTTCCATGTTGTTCAATAGTGAGCTGACTTCAATAAAATCTTCAGTATTTCTTTTAGTGTCTTGTCTTTTGGGCTCCAATCGAGAACCGAAAGCAATTTTTTGCTTTCATGAAGTTCTCCACTATTCCTATGTTGAAATGTTTTTGTTATAGCGATTATTTATATATGTTCCGCTCGTCGTTTTACAGTGTTCATTCGTTTCATCACTGTAGACACTTCCACTGTCTGAAACTTTGTTGATTTCAATAAATGGCAATCTTCTATTTGCCATACCAAGTACACGGTCAGAAGCATAATGATGGTTTTTGTGAATCTTGAGACAACTCTTATAGTGTAGATGGTAAAGGTCACTTACCAGTCTCAAAGATTTGTAAATGCGTTCGATATTAAAGACGCTGGACTTTTTATTTCTTGCTCTTTCAATCCACTTGATTTCAGACGTTTCAACATCCAATTACTAAAAACATACAAGAATGCAATGGCAGGTCTTTTGTGGCCACGTGGATGTCATTATCATCTCCACCAAGATCTTCCTCTACAGGATGTGTATCGATCAATGAGTTGTGATGTATTCTTACTAAAAGTGTGTATGGATAGCGGATGTATAATCAAAGTTCTGATTTCTCATTGTTTACTTGCTTACATGTTAAAGCATGAAAAAGTTCATACCTACCGACCTTTGGCTACGCACCATTGCCTGATATGCACTCTTCTCTCAAACGGTTAGAGGTTTTGATCAATTTGTTTTGCTGTGAAATTAACTTAGCTTCAGAAGAGTCGTATAGTTTCAAATGAACTTGTTGATCGTTTGTTTTTAATGGGAGATTAGTGATGATCTCTTCTGCCATTCACAGAAGATTTTTCCATATAATATTTTTCCATTGATGGCTTCTTACATAAACGCATCTCCAATACGGATAGTTTAGAATTTGCAAGCTTTAGTATACATCGTCATTTTTGTGTCCTACATGTTGCTCGTGGTTATTTGGCTTTGAGGCTAATGCCCTTGGCATCACTTACGACAAAATCAAGATCAGCTCCTTCATATGCAGTGCTTTGAGTGTAGTCTCTCGATAACAAGTGACTTTAAAAGGTTTAATGTCCGAAGAAAGCCAACGAGTATTCGAATTCTTTACAGTAAGGATAGCTTACTTTTGGATTAAAAAAACATGAATTACTTAATCAGACATGTATAAAACATGTTGAATTTTGACTCAAACCGCAAAAAAAGACAGAAGATGTTTGAAACTTTGCTGTATCTCTGGATTGCTACTTTAAAGTAGATATAGTTTTTTGCTAGAGCTTCTATTCTAAATAGCATGCGTCAGCGCAATTCTTACCACAAAATTGGCAATAAAAACGTAGGACTTCTTATTGCGTTGCATTAATTGTGACAGAAATATTTGCTTGTTTCAGCTATTAGTTGGAAGTTTACTAAAGCCTTGCAATTTCAGAAAAATCCCTTAGACTTTATTTTTTCATTATGTTAAGGAAAAGATTGTTTCAGCATCCATTTTCTTTATCATATTTAGCGAAATTTTTTTTTGCTTTTGTTTTCAGTAAAACCTACAGTGGTGATTAATTGTCCAACTCCTCTGGTTGTGAGTAAAGGTGATAATGTGTCATGTGTATGTAGAGGTGAAGGAGGTAACCCTCCTGCTAATGTCACATGGTTTGATAAAGATAACACAACAGTTCGTGAATTTGGAGTTGAAAGTGCGACTTTAGTAATCTTTGATGTTGAAGTGAAAGATAATGGAAGTTACAGATGTAAAGCACAGAGTTATGATAATTCAGGTTTCAGAGATCAAAAATCCATTGAAATACAAGTAAAATGTAAGCTTTGCAGATATATATTTTATCATCTTGTTACTATAGATGTTTGAAAACTTCGTCTTCAACTTTGTTATTATTAACGTGTGGTAAAATATCAGGACTTTGGAATATTATACACTTATTGTATGCTCCCAAGGGAAATAGTGAGTTTAGTTTTTCAATAGTCTCAATACATTGCATGCAATTCGAGGGAAAACAAAGCTCAGTATTTCTCACGCAAGTATACATTAAGTGTTTTGTTATATATAGGAACAAAATTCATAGATTTTCACAGCTTTTCAATGAAATCAACGTCTCTTTCGGTGGAGAATTGTTCGTCGAGATTTCGTTGCAAAATGCTATAAGGGCGACCACAGCATATTTGGAGCACTTCTAAGGGTTTCTAAGGGTTTTCGCAATCTTTTTTTCTATTACAAGTTGAATTTCGTTGCTTAATCAACTCGATACTTGTATATTTAGTTTTCGGCTCCATAGCTGTTTTATTTTTTATGATATTAAAATCAGCACGCAACAATTTTTCGCTTGTTTCCCTAAGGGGAAACTCTACGTTTATTTTAAGTGATGTGACTACCCATGAACCAATCAAATTTGACATACACAGCACATACAACAATAAATTTTATTTTTTATAGATCCAACATTCCTCTTCCGGTTTTACCCCTGCCACACTGACACTTACATATTGTTTCTATCATGACTATTATTATGATTCTGTCTTTAATTTCAGTTAAACCAACAGTGTCGATTAACTGTTCATCTCCTCTGTTTGTGAATGAAGGTGATAATGTATCATGTGTATGTAGAGGTGAAGGAGGTAACCCTCCTGCTAATGTCACATGGTTTGATAAAGACAACAACATAATTGGTGAATTTGGAGTTGAAAGTGCGACTTTAGTAATCACTAATGCCTCACCAAATGATCGTGGAAGTTACAGATGTAAAGCTGAAAGTTTTAATGATCCACGTTTCATTGACGAAAAATCCATTGAAATAATAGTAAATTGTAAGTTGCGAACTTATATATTTAGTACTTTTTGCAATAAGGTTTTCAAATTGTCAAATACGTAGAATTTTGAATTTTAAATTTTAGATCAACCAAGAAATACGACCATAATCCTATCAAAAATAAATCCAGAAATTGGTGAAAGTGTGATTATAACCTGCGTATCAGATGGTTTTCCTCCGCCAACCTTCATTATTTATCACAATGGTGCTGTTCTCAGCAATAAAAAGACATACATCATTCATTCTGTCAACTTCAGTCACAAAGGTTCATATCGTTGTGAAGCAAAGAATAAACTGAGAAATGATTTATCTCATCTTCAAAATCTCACTGTCATCAAAGGTAAAATTCGCTAAGAAAGTAAGAGCAGAGATTTATCCACATAAAGATTATAAATGTATGGATGTGAAATATAAATAGAAATAAAAATAGGACGCAAAGCGTACATGAGGGTAGTCCAGCTGTTTACTATGGTTATAAAATGAAGTAGATAAATATTTAATGAATGCAGTTTTAATAATATAAAATTGTTTACAATAAGCCTATCCGAGATGTGCTTTTTGCTTAATGTTCAATCCAATGACTCAAGAACTGTCTAACCCTTTTTAATTTACGTCAAGCCCTTGCTTAGATTTTACATCACGTGACTGTGGTCAGATGTAAAATCTAAGCAAGGGCGTGACGTAAATTAAAAAGTGTTAGACAGTTCTTGAGTCATTGGATTGAACATTAAGCAAAAAGCAGATCTCGGATAAGCTTAATGTAAACAATTTTATAATATTATTGAAAATGCATTCAAAAACCTTGCACTGGTCTCGAGCTCTCCCAAAGGTCTCCTCGGTTTGCATAAACCTGTGCAAACACAGTAAACATCTTTTATTTGTTAAATGAAATCGAATTAAGTATAAGGTAAGACGAAGCTAATGGTTTGTGTTTTTTTGTGTAGTATTGGAGTTATCCAGCTCCATCAGTCGATCAAGGCCATTTTTTACTTCAACGTCAACTTCTATTAACAACAATCTCAAAGGTATCTTTAATAAAAAAAGTTATAATTTTCTAGGTACTCCCACAAGTTAATAGTGGACTGGACACATGCAGTTTATTGCTAAACTTTTTTTTTCTTCTCATTTAAATTCTCCCTATTTTTCGTCCTATTTTAAACTTTTGAGGCTATGTTTATACATATTATACCCTTTACATCATAGTCATCCTCTTCTCAACTGGCTTTATAGTCATTCTAAAAAGCTTCTTTTTCTTTTAGGTAACTTAACTTCTACTTCAAGAACCTTTGATAACTGTAAAACATGTAAAATAACAGAGACAAAAACGAAATGGTACATTATATTGGTAACCTTGATTTCTGGAATTATTTTCGGCATTTTTATTACATCCTTGTTCTTTTTACGATATCGTCAACGGTGGGTGAATAAAAAACAAAAGCAGCTGTCGACCAATGCTGAAGGTAGAGTAAACACAGTTGATTCAACTTATGAAGAATTGAATTTATCAAAAATGGATAAAGAAGATAATTATCAATCGCTGAGGCCAAAAGATGAAACAGTTGATAAAACTTATCAAGAACTAAATTTGTCAAAAATGAATAACGAAGACAATTATCAGTCGTTGAGAGGAAATGATAAATTCAGTTGATACAAGAAAAATAAAAAATAAGACTTCGTGCATCACGAGCCGAATTAAAATGGTGACAGTGCGAGCCATTATTGTTTTAAACGTTTAGGTCTGCATGAAGTTTGTCGTAAATCGCACATTATCTTTTAGTGCTGGTTGTATTAAGTTTAACTGTTTTAGTATTAATTATCAAACAGTACATTGGCGATACTTTCTAGAATATATCATCCCAAATTCTTGTTCTTGGTATCCCATGTTAAATTTTCCGCTTTTCTTTTTTAACACCAAATAATGTTTTAATTGCATCTCATCAATTGCAAAGTGCACCTCAAAAATGAAAAAACAATTGGCACTGTCGTAAAATTTTGAAACTGTTTTTGATTTTTGTCTTTATTAGTGGTTCCAATAAGCAACCATTTCCCAAGGACTTTGAAAGTTTACGAAAAAAGAGATATTCGCCATCTTGGTGGAAATTTTAATTGTAAATGAGAAAAATCCTTCGTTGAATTCAACCAACTTGGCGGCCATGATTTTACATGCAACCCACAAAAGCCATGTTCACACAACATAAACTATCCTGGGTTTAACCCTGGTTTATTTTTTTGCGTGTAAACACTACCTACCCAAGATTCACCTAGGTTAAACTCAACTTATCTCTTGAGATGGTATGGACAAGTGTTACGGCCGGAATCCCATAAATTTAACAGTTTTGAGCCCAAATTACATTAAAACTTCAGTAGCAAATATGGAAACATATTGGGTTTGAATTTGACGTAGTTTTTTTATAGTTGTGGAAGAGCTGCAAATTTAAAGAAAGTAACGCTTATCAATCATTTATGGCGGCCTATAGCTACAAGTACGTACCATCCATAATATTTTTTTAAACTTCTACAACGAAGGCAAAGGTTCCAGTCATATCACATAAAACCTAACTTTTCAATAAAAGGTTACTTTAATAGCATTTAAAAAAACAAACGGGCATTTTCATTGTACAAAACTAACGGCGATTTTCAATGCAGAAACAAAATTTGACCTGGCTTCCAGACTCCAACTGTTCTCGTTTCTGGTTATAAAGAGTCCCCCTTTTTTTGTTTCTGGTTTTTGTTTTTCTTATTTTTTTTCCTCCTGCTTTAACAAGTTAAAAATCGAGTTGTTAGCATTAAGGCTGGTGGGACACAATGAAATTAAATCTTTTGATTGTTTTTACAAAGGAAATTCAAGTAATTACTTATACATTACCTGTCTGAATTTTTCATTTCTGTACATCATAACTTAATTAACTTTCATATATTTTCATCAAAATGTTTTATTCACAATTTTATTCAATTGTTTTATTTATCCTTCTTTTATTAACCAATCAAAATTTATTCTTTTGTCAATGTCTACAAGTCTACTTCCGCCGACATCCCACCCCACCCCGACTCAAAATATACATTAATGTACAATTGGATTTATCAAAAATGAATAAAGATAATTATCAATCATTGAGACCAAAGGATGACACAATTGATAAAACTTATCGAGAACTGGACATATCGAAAATGAATAAAGAAGATAATTATCAATCATTGAGACCAAAGGATGACACAATTGATAAAACTTATCATGAACTGGACATATTGAAAATGAATATACAAGATGATAATTATGAATCTTTGCAAAAAAATAATGAATCGGAGTAAGAGAAAGCCGACGAAAGAAGAAATTATGAGAACAGTGATTTGTTTTCAAGAAAATCATAAATTTATTCTAAACATATGTTTATAAACATTTTCCATGTTGTAAAGTCACAATGGTGCTTTTACGAACATTTACATTTTCTGATAAGATTTGAATTTTGCATCTTTTCCTCCCATTGGAGCTGCCAAGATCGTCACGATTTTTTACATAATGTGAACGGCGTATCGCATTATAACACTCTAAGAGGATCGTGACTAAAACACCACACGAGTACATACGAGTACATACGAGTAACGTACGAGTACATACGAGTGACATACGAGTACATACGAGTAACATACAAGTACATACGAGTAACATACGAGTACATACGAGTGACATACGACTATTTTCTGGCCAACAAATGAGAAACAACACAATTTCTTCAATACATTGATATTTGCGTTTATTTTTCCTTGTATTTGTGTGGACTTTGGGGCAACCATTTGATGGATTTAAATGCTGAAAAGGTATTTTACTTTCATACTACATTCATTTGTATGTTTCAGTTGAATTTGTTTTAGATATTTTGTCGATGCAATTTGCCAGTGTTTGAGCGCTTTTTGACACACTTTCACCTAGGAAATACATATTTATGAAAGCGATTATACATTCATTTTGACTCTGAAGATGACTTCATATAGCACGTTTTCAAGGCATTATTTATACGTTGTATATTTAATCGCTTTCATAAATATGTATTTCCTAGGTGAAAGTGTGTCAAGAAGCGCTCAAATACTGGCAAATCGCATCGACAAAATATCTATAACAAATTCAACTGAAACATACAAATGAATGTAGTATGAAAGTAAAATACCTTTTCAGCATTGAAATCCATCAAAAGGTTGCCCCAAAGTCCACACAAATACAAGGAAAAGTAAATATGTAAATTGAAGAAATTGTGTTGTTTCTCATTTGTTGACCAGAAAATAGTCGTATGTCACTCGTATGTACTCGTATGTTACTCGTATGTACTTGTATGTTACTCGTATGTACTCGTATGTCACTCGTATGTACTCGTATGTTACTCGTATGTACTCGTATGTACTCGTGTGGTGTTTTAGTCACGATCGAGCTTCCAATACTTTATGATTTCCAGAAGGAAGCCATTTTTGGATGAGAAAATACACTGGTCATTCTGACTCATTCATTAGTTGTTTTTGATAACAGTGTATGGTAATACTGTTTTTGAGTAAGTATTTTCTATTTATCTTATTTTACATCCTGCATTCCTGACTTGCTTCCTGTGTATACCAAATTGTTTAGAACAGGATCACGAAAAGGCCCTGAAAAAGCACGAAATCGTATTTTTGATAAACCAAAATCGTAAATTTCAAAATTTGTCTTTGACTAAGGAATGCCTTGAGACCCATCTAGTTAAGAGAAGACCATAGTTGGATAGTTAAGAACACCTTTAGTGACCTACTATGGAGCGCCAATCGTAACTAAAATTGTTTACAGTTTATATGGTTTCATTTTGAATACAGGGTTAGTGGGTTGTTCGACAACACAAAGAGAGCCTATGGAAAGCCGATACTGCCAAAAGTCTATCGAATTACGTAGATGGGTCTCAGTTGTGCAATAATATAGTTCAATCGACTTTTAATACTGTTGAGATAAAAAATACTATAATTGAAAATTAAATTTACATGTTCGAGATTCTCGCAGGCGAGTTTTCAATTCTCGCAGGCGAGTTTTTTAATTCTCGCAGGCGAGTTTTCAATTCTCGCAGGCGAGTTTTCCAATTCTCGCAGGCGAGTTTTTAATTCTCGCAGGCGAGTTTTCAATTCTCGCAGGCGAGTTTTCAATTCTCGCAGGCGAGTTTTCAATCTCGCAGGCGAGTTTTTAATTCTCGCAGGCGAGTTTTTAATTCTCGCAGGCGAGTTTTCAATTCTCGCAGGCGAGTTTTCAATTCTCGCAGGCGAGTTTTTAATTCTCGCAGGCGAGTTTTTAATTCTCGCAGGCGAGTTTTCAATTCTCGCAGGCGAGTTTTCAATTCTCGCAGGCGAGTTTTTTAATTCTCGCAGGCGAGTTTTTCAATTCTCGCAGGCGAGTTTTTTAATTCTCGCAGGCGAGTTTTTCAATTCTCGCAGGCGAGTTTTTTAATTCTCGCAGGCGAGTTTTTTAATTCTCGCAGGCGAGTTTTTCAATTCTCGCAGGCGAGTTTTGTTTGTCACGCGCGTGATCTCGCGTGAGTGAGTTCCACGTTAGCAAACAGTTTCACTTCACATAACATTACATGTATAAAATAGCAAATGTGTTGGTATGATTGTATGTTATAGCTTAGAAAACGCCTCGTAGAGTTTTTTTCTCTTAATTTAGTTTATTTCGTATATGTTATATTAGACAAGATAGGCAACTCTCAACACAAAATGACTGACCGTCAACCTAAACAGTTTTAGGATTTTTCACCATTTTTCTTCACTCGAGGAACATTCCCAAGTGTTTGGATCGGGCCAACTAAGCACTTGAAATCATTTAGTATTTATTTTATGCAATTAGCACCAGAGGATAGTGCTGCAAGTTTTTTTTAATAACCGGAAATACGAAAGTTAAATTCTCCCACGCGAACGAAGACGTAAAATTTAGTAAACAACGAAGCAACAACAACGAAAACGTGGAATTACTGTGACGTTATCACCTTTAAAAGTTTGGGAAAATCACCGATTTTTAGTTAGGATTTACACCGCCAGAATGTAACTTTCTGCAAAAAATCGTATTTGTTTTTAACGACATGGCCTGATCTATGCATGGCATCGACCAATCAGAACACGCGTTATTATTATGTTGTATTCAATAATTACACCGTCACAAGGTTGCACGTGCACCAGAGTGATAACAGAAAAGACATGAATGCAATAATAGAACAGATTTTGGCAAATATAAACCGACTGGGCCGTGAACTACAAAACAATGGACAAAGCTCTGTTCCGTTTAATACTCCCACTCAAAATCAGGTACGCTCTGTGTTTCAATTTTTCTACATACATATATTTAGGTATCAGTTTTGGCTGCTTGTACTCATTATATGACTTCATATCTCTACCTAGTGCATTTAAAAAACAATCTGTTTGCCTTGAATAACTATCGAGGGAGGGTGTATCTTAATATTAAGATATCAGAGCTATATCAGTGTATTGACATATCAGAGCTATATCAATTATCGTTCTAATGGAGCTGCCGTACATATCACATAAATTAGTCTTGATAGTTGCCAAAAATAAATGACTGATGAAGTTCATGATATCAATGTCATTGACTGAAACCTACCTCCACATCATCTGTGCTGTGTGATATTCTCAGTGTTTATCTTTTATTTTGTTTTCAGGCTAGTACGAGCACCAGTACTAACAGTGAAGTCTCAAGAATATTCAGGGGATCAAGCCCTTCCATTACCAGTCCCTTATCTGCTGCTAGCCAAACGCAACAATCTATTGCAACTGCTACTATGAGCACTCCACGCTTTAGACTCAGGCACAATTTTCCTCAGACAACATCTAGAGGCAGGAAAAAAGATAAAGGAGTTGCAGGTCCATTCACAAAAGATGTCATCTTGCTGAGTGGTCCAGAAGATGACACAGTACCTCGTCAAGGTTCTAGGGTGTGGTTAATGGAGAATCAACACATCCTATGTGGTGTGCAGCGAAAAGAATGGGATAGCACTAAATTGATATCTTTTTCAAAATTTATTCCCATCCAAACTCATGGATTCAGATGAAATTGAGATTTTACTGTCAGTCCACTTCAAACTATTGCCACCCACTTTGGCTCCAGGGCAGTTGTTTACTGGTTTTGTTCTTCAAAAGATATTTAAGGATAAGCCTATTTACATCCGCCCTTCACGGCAAATTCTTGAAATGAACCCAGAAGAACCTGCAGCAAAAAAAGAGAAGCTAGATGATGAACAATTTGAGGTAAATATACATTTTAAGTACAATCATATCAATTTTGAATAGTTTTACCATATTTTCCAGCACCATAGTGTGGTTATGGCAATCATATTACAGTTCTTCTATTCCAACATCTTGTCTGGAAGCATGAGCTGGAGGTTTATTGTATTCAGCATGTCACAAACATACCACATTTCACATTAACAAGCTATAGACAAACACGGTGACAGATTAGCAATTGGACAGGATGTTGTAGTTTGTTAACTCTTCTTGAGGGCCGGAGAGTTGTGCATGAGATTGGACCCAAATTGTTTAGAAGTTTATTTATGATCTTTGCCAAAGTCTTTTTCTTGCCAATAATTAAAAAATTCAGTTGTTATTAAATAATGGTATATCGTCTGATTTTTTAGGAATTTGCCAGGCATTCAACGTGGGATTCAAATGTCACATTGGGTGTGTAGTATTTCCTTTATTTTTAACCGTCACGAATACGTAAGGGTTTACAAATGATTAGCAGTAATTAATGTTAAAATTCCAATAATAACAAGGGGTCTACTGCTTAACAGGGAGCTCCAACAGCTAGACAAATTTTAACACAACTCCATTAAAGGTGGGCTAATTTTCTGCCATACCCTGATTTCCACTTTCTGTAAATTTACAACAAATCTTAACATTTAACAAATTTCCAGCAACTCTCATAAGAAGGAGGCATGACCTTAGCCCCTAACCCCTTTCCAAGGGGGGGTGGAGATTAATGGGTTTTGGAATAAAGGGTTTTGATGTTTTACTGATCAGAAATACATTGTGTGCATTATGAGTTAAAAGCAGTTTGTTGCATGTACTAGGTGTGGTAGACCATGTGCAATCAATTATTGAAGATGAAGTAGTAGAAATTGAACCACCAGTAAAAGATATGTCAACCATTGCAGATTCTGTAAAGCAATGTATAGATTACTGCCATGAAAGGAACATACAAGACCCAGTGGAGATTTTAAGAGTTGCTCAAAAATTTATAGTAACAGGTCGCCAGCTAGAGGTTACAGATCCAAGTGTATGTTTAGAGGGAGAGACCAACTACATTTTAGTCAACCGCCAAGATGTCCTTAAAAGTGCTATGGAGGAAATAAATCCGTTAGTGAATCCAAGATTGACACTAGAGGTATTCAGTGGTCTTTTATATCTTATTCTCTATATCATCACATTTAAAGTTTTTTCATGCCAACTAGTAAATAGCTACTTTTAGTGTCAATATTCAATACTTATAATGACTTTGATAGTAATGTTTTCTTTCTTAATTGCAAACTGCAGCTTAATGTTCAGATTTTTTGGCGTTTGCCCTTGAATGTGTTTTGCCCTGATTATGTCAATTGATCACTGCAGGTATCCTTTTACGGAGAGATTGCCACTGACTACGGAGGACCAAGACGAGAGTTTTTCCGGTTGTGCTTGCACGAAATTAAGGCTAAATATTTTGAAGGAGGTCTAAAAGATCATTTATGTGATGACTACAGTGTTATTGGCTTAATCATGGCCTTGAGCATTCTCCAAAATGGTACGATCCCAAGATTTATGTCACCTGATGATCTACAAGATCTTTTGCACTCGGACAGTCCGTCCAAGTGCATACAGAATCTTCGCACAGGATTTGCTAAACTTGGACTTTACGAGATTGGAAAAGCATTGCCTAGCTTCTTCAACCTTTTACACCAATCTCCAGCAGTACTACTGTCAAGACGAAAGCTTATTCATATCCTTGTCCCAAGTTTTTCAGAAGACGGATCAAATGCCCGTTATGATGAAAACCTCACATATCAGTGCTTCCTTAAATATTTGCAAGCTGCAGCAAGTGGCATCAGGGGGTCGATAACTCTGAACCACTTATTACAATTTGTAACTGGAACAGATGAGGAGCCTCCACTTGGCTTTTGCTTGCCACCAAAAATAACCTTTCCGTCCGTAGACGATGCTAACCGCTGGTCGTTTATTCCGTCTGCAAACACATGCTCAAACACACTTCATTTGCCGAGGTGCGTCTCTGGCAGGTTCCCTCTTCCGCAAGAGAATGCATTATTTGATATTTACGATGTTGCCTTTGCAAATGCATACTTTGGTAAAGCTTAGTGCTTGGAAAAAGACATTGGACATTCTACTTTACAAATTGTTTTGTTATACAGTATACAAAATTTCTTGTTTATGTTATGATTACATGACGTTCTGTTAGTGATGTGCTTATTACGCCATCTTAATCTTTCTGCATAAAAATGCTATGGACTTTCATATAAATAGATAAAAATAAGTCAGAAAAGTCGGTAGAGGACAAAAGTAAAAAAATAGCGTCTTAAATTATGTTAAAGTAAGTTATAATGTAAGAACGAACATTGCAGAAATGTTGTATTCCTGAATCTCCGTCATTGCTCAAAGGATCAAAACGATTGCTGAGTTCTATATACTCATCCTCTGTAAGACCAAATTGGTTAGTTGGGACACTTATTCCATTGTCATCATCATCAACTCCTGGAAAATCGTAGTCGATACCATAACTGTTAAGGTCTTCCGCAGTGTCAGTGTTTAAGGCGTTAGTATTCCGTGTTAACATACCATAATTCGAAAGGGCAATAGGAGAAGATTGGTTTGTTGTTCTCATGCCATGGTAGTTCCACTGCAATATAAGCTCATCCGTGGATTGACGAATGCGTGGCAAGAAAATGTAGTGCAGTATCCACATGTCCAATTCATTGTTACGGTCAAGAATCTCGTGCTGTTCCATGTGCTGAAATATATCTCTATACAAACTGATGACCACCCTGTTGACTTCTCTCCAAAGTCTTTCGATTCTGTTATTGTGGACGCTCCTGCCTGCGATAAAACTTCCTCTGTTGGTGCCACGTTTAGAAACCATAAAATGTGCAACATCGTAATTTTCGACTCCTCTGTCGCCACGAACTCTACTAGGGAGTCCATATTGCATAACTCCATCCTGGAAGTAACGAAGGGTCTCGGCAGACAAGTTATTGGTCGAGCATTGCAAGTAAATTATTGCTCTACTATAACCATCAACACATCCATGGAACACAAACCGCGAAGAAATTAGTTTATGGTCAGAATCTATGTGCCATAAACTATTAGGTGATTTAACATTGTACACTCTTCTTCGAACAGTACACCCCCACCGAACAGCTCGTCCTATAGGGTCTACAACTTGAAGCCGCTGTCTCACCCTCCAGCGCTGCACCAGCACATCCCTACCTTTTAAACTTCCTCGAATATAGCTCTCTCCTGCTTTTGGAGTCAAAGCTAATACATTCTTCAGTAAGACGTCAAGTTCAGCGTCAGTAATGTCAGAATATCGTACGTACAAATCAAAATTTTCGACTCTCCTGTACAATGTTCTTTCACTAACATTGATGCATTTTGCAATCTTGCTCCAAGTCATTCCAGTTTCGCGAAGATATTCTAACTGTTGTTTAGTGATTATAAATTTTGGGCGTCCTCCAGTCACCTCCTGAGGAGTGAGGTATTGCGAACTTTGCAACGACTGTTCGGCTGCGATTTTCTCTTTGACTTCATTCCATTTGCTATAAGCAAATTCGTACAATTGCTTTAACAATACAAGTACATCGTTTGTTTCCAGAGTATTTTCATTATTTTCATACGAGCTAATCATCCCAAAAAGAACTACGATGAAATATTCCAGTTTTCTTTCCATATATTCCGTGAGCATGTTGTCAGTTACGTTGTTCAACTGCTTCAATAAGTCGTTGAAATCTCTAAAATACTTTTCTAACTCGTCTCTGGTCGCCATGTTTAATTCGTCTTGATATCAGAAATTTACATACAAGTACTGCGAGAATTAAAAAACTCGCCTGCGAGAATTGAAAAACTCGCCTGCGAGAATTGAAAAACTCGCCTGCGAGAATTAAAAACTCGCCTGCGAGAATTGAAAAACTCGCCTGCGAGAATTAAAAACTCGCCTGCGAGAATTGAAAAACTCGCCTGCGAGAATTAAAAAACTCGCCTGCGAGAATTGAAAAACTCGCCTGCGAGAATTAAAAAACTCGCCTGCGAGAATTGAAAAACTCGCCTGCGAGAATTAAAAAACTCGCCTGCGAGAATTGAAAACTCGCCTGCGAGAATTAAAAAACTCGCCTGCGAGAATTGAAAACTCGCCTGCGAGAATCTCGAACATGTAAATTTAATTTTCAATTATAGTATTTTTATCTCAACAGTATTAAAAGTCGATTGAACTATATTATTGCACAACTGAGACCCATCTACGTAATTCGATAGACTTTTGGCAGTATCGGCTTTCCATAAGAGCCCCAAAAATGCGGGGACCTTTAGAAAATTTACTGTTTTAATACTTAAAATATAAACAAATGTACTGGAGAATCCCAACTGTTTAATATCGCAATGCTCCAGACATACAAAAACCTCCATCATTCGGGAGCAACAATAAAACTGTTAACGTTTTGATATTTCATTCTGAATGCTAAAACAACAAGAGCAATAACTTTAACTTTATAATACATTTACATTCAAAGGCCTAAAGATGTTTTTCTTTGATATCGTATTCAGCAGTTATTAAGTAATAGAGCATTCGTAAAGAATGGCAAAAACTTTTAGTTAGATTTTGTTGGGGGGCTTGCGTTCCCTCAGTGTCGCCATCCAATCCTTGGAAGCTTAGTGTTAATATTGACCTTGTAGTATCGGCTAAAGGCAGACATTCCATATTTCCATTTTTCATTTATCTTTTATAAAATGAAGGTGGGGGAGGATATTCATATATTCAGCACTGCCCTGCTGGCCCGGTTGCATAAAGCCTTGATAGTGATATCCATCGGATAGCAAAAATTTTCAAATTTGTAAAAAAGGTGTTTATATTTTACTTACGACAAAGAAATTTACTAATCTTCGAAACTATATTTTCTTTCAGACTTCAATGATTGCTCAGTTCGAATTGTATCTTTTTTGCTTCTTAAAAGGTTTTATAAAAGTATGAAAAAATTGCTATCCAGTCTTCGTGCAACAGACCCATGATATCTTTTCAAATTAAAATCGCCAACAAGAGAATAGGGAGTTTTAGCAAGAGTACAACTACGACTACGAGTACGAAATTTGACCGTGTAAGGGAATGGCACGAGGAAGTTTGTTGTCGTTGTCGCTTCGTCAAAATTTTGCTTTAGTTGTAAACAACAGAACGAGCCTTTTTATTGTGTAAAACACCGACGTTTGCGAAGCAGCTACGGCTCTATTTGACAATAATGATATCAAAGAATCGATAATACTGGTTTTGCGAGAATATAGGACTCTTTAGACTGAAAAATCTTCACTATTTTAAGTTTTATGTACGATATATTTGCACTATTTTATTGTTTGTTTACCTTTCACTTTGCGTACGAAATACATGAAAGTTTTGCCGGTCATATTTTCCTTTTTAATATACATCTGCGCTCAAAAAGAGTTCTAAATTAAAGCCTGGATGCTCGAAAATAGTACTGTAAACTAATTTCTCACAGAATGAAGAAATATACCTACTTTCTTTGCTTAAAAAGACATCGTAGTCGCGACTACGAATTTTTTACAAAAAATCGTACTCAGATTGATGACGGCTACGTGTTTTTGTTGTCGCAACAATGTTTTCGCGCCAAAATGACGTAATCGTACTCGTAGTAGTACTCGTAGGCTCTGCTAAAGCTCCCTAAGAACTTAGTACATGAATTTTCATGTACTAAGTACATGAACTTAGTACTTAAGTACATGAACTAAGTACTTTAGTACATGAACTTAGTACATGCAGGGAAGAGCTTAGTACATGAATTTTCACCCCCCACCCCCTCAATTAGTGTTCTAACTAGATGGGTTTCTGGGCATCCCCAACCCAAGAAACAGCTGTAAATAATTTTTTTACTATAAGGGGGTGTGCTACAATTCCCTAGGAGTAAGAGAGAAATGAAATGCTCGCCATGTGGATGAATTATGCATTGTAAATAAGGAAAATCCTTTGTTAAAATCATGCAACATGGCGGTTGCACTTGCACATCAAGAATTGGCACCCCATCCTTTGCATTCGGGTCTGGTTCAGTGGTCTGGTTATACAACCTTCTTCGGTCATTATGTTTTATAATTTATTTATAATATCTATGGTTTTAATCATAAAGATAACATGTATTATGAAATGTTACACAAAATAGTGAGAATACGAAAATGATCTTCATTGGCCTAACTGGCCTTTATACAATTTTGACGATGAACAATGAAATAAATATTTGCACACCATGGACCCGGAAATAATTTTAAAAGAGTAAAATTAGCCAGTTTATTCAAGAAATGTGTTAAGTCTTACACCGTTCAGTAAGGTAAAGTGAATCATTTAATATGTTATCAAAAATTGACTGATTAGTCCATTTGTAAATAATTTTATTTTCATTTCACTGAGTTTTCTTTGGATTAAAAAGTTTCCACTTTTGCATCACAATGGAAAGTACGTTAGTACTTCCGCAAAGTACAAAACGAAAAAATCTTGTTTTACGATATTTGCCATGATTTTACACTGAAAACGTAATCAATGTTTTCCAAAGAAAATTTAGAAGTTTATGCTCTAATGTTTCCTTCGATATTAATGGTTATGGGAAATTAAAAATAAACATAAAATCTGAAGGAATACGTCATATATTTATGTAGTAGTTCTGTGATTTATCTTAAGTTGCATCTTCACCTTAACCTTTATAGACAGAATACAGGATGGAAAAGTTTGGCTTCCTTTCATTTGTTTTGCTCTGTTGGATTTCATCTTGTCAAGGTAGTTATTATTTTATTAGATCATTAAGGAAGTAAATGGCTATTTTTGTCAAATAAAACTGTGGAATTTGCTTAGAAATTTAAGCTAAATTGACTAAAAACTTGCTGGTTTTAAATCCTCGTGTGTACACAATAAAACTCATCGTAGCCAGTTCTGCATTTAAAAATAATCCAAAAGCAATACCTTGCAGTATTTTCATCTTTTAAATACATGCACATAATGGCTATTTAGCAAAGAAGTAAGAATATCTCATTTACAATAGGGTAATTGACATTTTTGTGGTAAATAGTGATAGCACTTATGCTTGTACAGTAATACCAAATGTGTTTCACCATTATAAAATATGTTGCTCTATGTGGCTGTAGTGCAATTATGAATCTAAATTATAAACTATTAAATATTTATATGCCAGCTATTATTATTTATTAATTGATGTTCATACCAATGTGTGAACAATGTTTAAATGCCCATGACTTTACTCGTACACCAATGCACTAAATCTTCTGTTGATTAGAAGTTGACCTCAATCATTTAGTTTGTTATCATTTTTCCATTAAGTTTTCAAAGTTCAACACTTCTAGTAATTTT